ACTACTTCACATTCACAATCTCCTACTAGCCCGTGGCATAACACAAACGCCGTCAGAGAGGGCCTAGAGGAAACAATGAAATGTCTTAGGACAAAAGACAAAACACAACTATACTCATCAGCTTAAAGAAAAACAATAAACACATTTACTCAAAATGACCAGACAAAACAAAATTACAAAAACCGATTTTTCTGTAAGAAATGTCAAATCAATCAAAAATAAATGGCACAATAACGGTACACTTAATTTGTTACTGTAAATAACTTAAAATTCAATATTCAATCTCAAAATATTTGCTTTCATTTACCAATACACATAAAATACATATAGAAAAATTTCTACAGTACACGAAATAAAAGAAACAACATTACATATGTCAATATACAACAAATACATCTGTTGATATACAATAATACATATGTTAATACAGGTACAATACATAGAAAAAACAATGTTGATACAAATACATAATATATCAATACAAATACATTAACAAACTGTTTGTGGGACACCGGGGCACTATCTGGAAGACGGGGTTTCACATAAATGACTGAAAACTGGGGACGAACTGAAAAAGATATGTGGCTTCGGGAAAAGGGACAAAAATCTAGAAAACTCCTGAACATTCAAAGGCCTGAAAAATGCCCCACGCCAAGGGCGCCATTTTTGTAACGAGAGGTAAAAAAATGGCGAAAATCTAAGACATGCCACACACGTTGGGCGACATTTTTGTAACGACAAGTAAAAATGTCGCAAATCTAAGAAATGCCACACACGTTGGGCGCTATTTTTGTAACGACAATATTTTGCTTACCTCAGGGTAAGAACATGAGGGGTAGAAGATTGGGCAAACAAAATAATCGTAACAAGTGCGATATGTAACGATAAATATTTTGCCTACCACATGGGGTAATAATACAAAGGGTAGGAAATTGGGGGGAGAAACTATTGGGGGTGGAGATAAGGCAAGCAAAATAATCGCTACTGATGCGAACGGCACTCAGGGTTTCGTAGGAGAGCTGGGGTCGTGGATAAGTAAAAGATGGGGGCATTGGAATGGGGAAACTACAAAAAAAATGAAATAAAGGGCTCTTGGGATAAACAAAATAAAAATAAACAAGAAACACCTCAAGGAATTTAATATAGGGCGCCACTTGAGGTGCCTAATTATGCCTATTACAACCACTAGTTGTAACTAGGGAAATAATTAGAAAACAAAATCAAAACATAAAAAACATATCTTTTTCAAATAAAATCAAAAAAGGGTTAGCTCAAAAAAAATAAATAAAATGTTAAGACAACAAAATTTAACATTTATTTATGTGTCACCACAAACAGTTACATGGAGAAATACAGATAAATACATTCAAAAACTTACATGTGTCATCCATTAACAAACTCCATTGCTACAAAACTTACAAAATTGCATGGAGGTTAACCTTTTAAAATAAAAACAAAACAAATCAACTTCAAAAATACTAAAACGAGCTGTCATAAATTAACATTAAATTTCAAAAAAAACTAAACACAAATTGACAGCTTTACTCAAAACCTAAAATTTACAATTTTAAATGTCAACGAAAGCAATTATTATTTAAAAAAATGTCTGTCTTTAGTTTAAAATTTGAACAAAATGTTACCTTAATTCACATGACACACTCAACTTTCTGAAACCATAACTGGAACCTGGAACTGAGGGCTCCACGCTCTCTGGATCACGAAAACCTCCATCTTCAAACTGCCAAAAGCCTTGGATAGAAACAGGAACAAAAAAAACGAGGATGTCCTCCAATCCTCACTCAAAACATTAATAATGGAAGCATTTACTGCTACAAAACCAATAACAAACTGCTACATATTCTTCATGATAAAAGATGAAAACAGAACACTTTACAAATTCGACGTGAATTTGGACATAACGTTGAACCGCTATTCAAAGCTGCTACAACGAGAGTGACGAAATTATCTATTAAAATTGAACGCATACATACAAACGCTGACATAACAAGACACCACAAAACGACGTACATATCCTTTTGCGACGCATTAACTTGAAAAGAAATTGCCGAAGTAAAATAAACAACTCTAAAATGGTTTATTTTAACTTGGCCGACCTAAGAAAGAAATGAAAATATATTTGGGTTTAAATACGTACGAAATATGTATACGAGGGGACTTCAATTTACTTCAAAGAATCAATGAAATTGAAAATGCTACAACACCACAACCAACCTTCCATTTTTGCTAACCTTCCTATACAAATTTGTCGATGACATTATCTGTGCCGTACCAAACGGTCAGATTGACACCATCTTAAATATGTTTAACTCTTTTAAGTAAATAGCATCTAGAAACTAACAATAGCGTATCTTTCTCGGACACTAAAGTAATCCCCACGGAAGATAATCATATAACACTAGCTTGGTATCAAAAACCTTCTGCATCAGGCAGATTTCTAAACTTTGCTTCCAACCACGCAAAAAACACTATAGTTCTTGCTATGAAAAATATCTATGGGACTATCGGTTTATAAGTAATAATCAAAGCAAATAACTTGAGATATTAATTAACAACGGTTATCCGAAGATAGGTACTCCTTAAACAATTAAATTACAACTCGCACCATTATGGTGGACCATTAGATAGATATGCTCCACAATACTTTGAATACAAAAGATTGCTATTCGTTGGTAACTTGATGAATAAAATTACAGCCCTCTTCAAACCGTACAATAACATCAGAACTGGTAGATACAGCGGTAGTAATAACAAAAGTTAGTTTTCTCGTGTTAAAGATATCACACCAGCAATGTACACTACCAATACAATCTACAAAATACTGTGTTTAGGCTGCGAAGGTTGCTATATTTGACAAACAAGCCAATGGTTCAAACAACGTATTACCCAGCATAAAAGTAGCTGCCATAAAGAGTAAAAACACATGCGCTGTTGTCGAACACTTCATCAACACAGTTAACTAGTTTGTCTTTACTAATCTTTAAATACTACAAACACGTTTCTTTGTGTGTCGGTGCCATTTCTTGTGTTTAAATCGTCAAATAATTGCCAGGCTGCATTTTTCCAAGTTTCATTTAACAATTAAGGCTACTTTTATAATTGAACTATACTTGTTTAAATCTGTTATACATGGATTAAGTAAGTGATTGTAATCCTACGAATTCGATTACACTATGTGAATTTTTATTTTTTTTTTGACCAATTCTTTGTAACACTAGTAGCTGTAATTACCATGGATATTGTATTACTGCTCACGTAAGTCACATTTCTTATCATATCACATATTATTCTTCTTTCACTCAACACGAGAGGTCAGATTTTGGTCTTCTCTTTTAATTTAAAGAGCTTCAATAATCCTTCAAAAAGAGTATTACGCTTGTACAGATGGTAATTTATTAGTACAAAACGAAAGGTTTCCGCTAATATATGGAATAGTTAACATCTTGCTTGTTTCTTTTCTCCTCTTATCTGACTGAGATCTTCAAGAGTTACAGTATGAAAGGGATTCCACCCGTTTCCATTGTTTTATCACTGCTTATTGAGTTTGACAGTCGTTGCTCCTTATGTATTCTAATCTAACCTAACCAAACTGTCGTTCTCCTGGCGTAATGGCATGATGCTTGGTCGGGCCAAAATATTATTTCATCATTGGGGTGATGAGTATTAATAAACTGAACAAGCTTTGTAAGTCAGCTGTCAACGTAATTGTCAGCATTGAGAGCTTCACCGCGAACACGCCCAACAAACGGCTGTGAAACACCGTACCAAAATTTTATTCGGCAAATTTCACTTTTCCCATAAATCTACCTTCGTCCATTGCATCTTGTACATTGCGTGTATAAAATCCGTCGTTGCCCTTCATTTCGAAATTGAATAAAGTAAAATACTTTTCATTATCAATAATGAGAATTTTACCAGGAAAATGAATACGTCTCAATGCACGGCAACATCTAGGATTTTTTTCTAACTGGGCTGGTGTGTACTTAGGAGCTTTTTTCCTTTACTTACATCAGTTTAAAGTATTTCTAGAAATTGTTCTACTTACAGTCATTCGTGAAACATTATATCTTCGGCCAACATTTCGCAAATACTTTCCTAATTGGTTCTCCATACTTTAAATTATTAATCTCTGCTCCTGAGCAATAGTTAAAACTCTTGGTCTTCCAATTTTGTGAAAATTAAGGCATGTTATACCATTTTCGTACTCTTTAATTGTCTGGTACATTGTTGACACAGAAATATTTTGAGCACTAAAAATTCTTACAATATCGCGTTTTGGTAATTTGGTGGTAACTAAATAATAAATACTTTGACAAATATTAAGTTTGTATGACATCTTAACAAACCGTATGTGTCAAAACTGACATTGTTTATATCGTTTGTTGTTTACTAACTTTGGTTTACAATGGCAACTTGATCCAATGCTTCCTACCAATAATACTTTTAAATCTAAAATTTTCCGAAAACTTTAGGGACATACATTACCACTCTTACATATTCCATAATGACACCGCTTCGTTGATCCTTTTCGTACATATATCATAATAATAATCGATTAAAAAAAAGTATTTGCTCATTGAGGCGCTTTTTTTTATTTTCTATTTCCTTGTTTTTTCAAACAACTATACTTTCTTAATTTTTTTTTATCTTAATGATGCGTTTACATGTATTTTAACAAGCTGGTTTACAATAAGAAAATGGCTGGTAGAGACGCATTGGCACACAAAAATTTTGATGAAAAGGTCTTATTCATGTGGTACTGTTTCTATTCTTATTTTTCTTTACACATACATGTAATATACATACATACACATACTAGGACTATATTAACATTTTTAGCACACTATATAATTGTCTCATTTTGCGACTCAGTTCATTATTTCTTGTGCTGCATGTCTCATGCCTTTCTTCTATTTACACTCCAAAACAGGCCATCCACTTCACTCTTTTAAATATGTAGTCAAAAAAGTAATGTCTTTAAAAACGTTTATTATTCAACAATATTTACATAATTAAAATTATCAAATACTTTTATTAGTACTTTTAAAACTAGAGCAAGTTTTCTGTCTGGTACAGTCTAACTATTTTGTAAAATATTAGCGGCAACAAATTATCAACACAGTAAATTTAACAAAATATCACTGCACCTGGGAAGGATAAACGCATTATTTCTATTCCAGTAATAAACTGAAAATGTTGCATACACCAAACTAATAGATCTTTACTTGATATGTGACAGCTAATGACTTGACCAAAAATTTCGGAAAATCTACTACACACTTATTTGGTTGTATTAGACTAATGTAGAAGGTAAGTTCAAACTTTATAATTAATTCTTCTCTGTCCTGTCTCAGATTTGAGGAGTTAAAAATAAGTTTACTAAATAAATGAAAAATTAATACAAAGAACTATGTAATAAAATATATAAAAAAGAGATAAGTGTTAAAGGTATCCAATCTCAGCGATTTTATTTTAAAAAACAATAAAATCAAATTCATGAAAAAGATTTATTATAAATGTTATCGGACATTATTGGAATATATCAGCATGCAATCTTCTCCTCAATACCCAAGTGTAAAAAGTTTGACAAATTTCATCATCCCTAAAATGTACAATTCATTAAGAGAAAGAAATTCAACAATTCTGCATAGACCCTAGTTATAATCTATGTGTGATGGTATTAAAATCGTTCTATTCAGTATCAATTGTATCCTAGACATATTTATATCTACTTAAATATTAGCAATAAATTAAGTTCCTTTGTATGTTGTATATCCAAATGGACTCAGCAATAGAGGAATATGATGAGATTCAGTACAACCAGCGTTAAAGATAATCTGGAATAAGAATGATAAAAATGAGAAAAAGATCATGGTTAGTCAAAATTAATTTTAAAAATTACTATTTACAAATTTAAATTTACCATTTGAAATAATAGTTATTTATTATACAAGTAAAAAAGTATATAGCTGGTCTATAAGTCCCAAGGACTTCCATAATAGCCAAAAGAAATATCAAAACAGTAGCATTGATGAATCTCTGTGTAGTGACTTAATGACAGTAAAGATAAAGGTCATAGAGGCAGGAGGTATAAAGGGGTTTTCTGATTAACATACCTCTCATATGATGATCCAGAATAGCCACCATCAAGGGTGTTGGAAGAGCTAGTGAGAGATGCCAGGAAAATGGAATGCAATTAATCATTGGCTGTGAGGCAAATTACATACCATCTGACTTGAGGCAGTACAAACACCAAACTGTTAAGAAATGAAATGTTGTCTTAGATGAGGTGTCTTGTTCAGACCATTAAGATATTTTGTAACAACAGGCAATGACCATATCAAGAAAACTTATCATAATCCTCAGAAAACAAATTGGGAAGCATATCAAGCAGGCCTGGAACATTGTTTAGGTAAGATTAAAGGGACTATAAGGCATACCTTGGACGTAGACATGGCCGCCGAACAATTTCAAGAGGCTCTCATGTCAATGTTTGAAGATAACTCTCTGGAGATAGTAAAATGTATGGAGATAGGAAAGTAAGAATGACACTCTTACAAATCAAAGGACAGAAGTTAGACAAAAATGTAATTCAATGGTTTAACCAGTAGTTGTTATTTCAAAATAAGATTAAATAGTACACATACAGCTTGAAAACTTTCACACATAGTATTCCCTGTGTAAAAGTTTCAGTGAAATAGAAAATTTCAAAGTTTTGAAACAGGACAATAGTTCAATGAAATAATTTCGAAGATAGTCTACAAAGTCTCTAGATATATTTTGAAATTTTTTTAAAAAGTTTTGTAAATTTTTGGGCAACAAAACAGTATAATAAAAAGTTATGTGACAGTTTTTCGTTGTGTTGGAACAAACCTATTTTTAATTCAGTTATAAAATTTTATTTACATGTAATAAAAAAAAACTTTATTCAAATTTCATTCCTTTTTGAGTTTTAAAATTGAACACTTTAATATATTAAAAAGAAAGATTTTATTATATCGCTTCTCCAGAGCAACATCGACGCAAGTACAGATTACTAAAATGCTGGAAAATTGACTTTTAAAAATATTTTTACAGCAAAGTAAACAAAGTGAAAGTTTAAGTGAATATTTTTGAAACTGAAATTACTTTTTTTAATGGTAAATTTAGTCTAATTTTAAATGACAATCTTAGTGTTTTGATAATAAAACTTTTAGAGTCTACACAGATCTCAGAACTTTGCAGCCTCCCAGTTGCGTCATTGTTCTTCCAATGTTTTTCAAATAGTTTCTGAATCGGTTTGAGTTGGTCTACAATAGTAACATTAAAAAAATTTAAAGAAAGGTTTAGGTATATAATTTTATTGTCAGTAAATAATACAAACTACTCAAAATGATAAAAAATAACAAAAACACTACTCAGAATTACTAAAAAGTAACATTTGTTTTTTGTACACCTTTAAAAAAATTAACAAAAACATTCACAATTCAAAACAAGCTATTAAAAAAAGGTTCGTAATATTTGGGAATTATATTACTTGATAATAAATTTTCTAGGTCCCTTTTCTTATTTTCAGAGATCGGAATTTTTGAAATGTATGCAGGTCTTTTTCTAACATCTACATTATCATCTGTCCTTGTCACTCGTCTACTTTTTACGGTTATAGCATAGGCCTGATTCCAATCCACCTGTTTGTAGCTGGTTTTGTAAAAGAACCTATCACTTTCCTTCTCAAATCGAATTATTTTAATATCTGACAATTTTATTTGTTCGCCGTGTATATTTTTCTGGCAGTTGAAGCCGATGTCGTTAGCAAGCGTTTTCAAATCGATGAAGTCATTGTAACTTAATTCTTTTACTAGAAGAGGGTTTCCTTTTTTTCTTTGCGTTTCTAATAATCGACACAATTTGATCGGGAACGTATATCGGTCCTGACTTTTTAGCTCTTTTCATAGCTTTTTCGATGATACTGTGGACTACATCACCTTCGTTCTGTGTATGACCTCGGATGAGATACTTGTGTGTTATGGAATTTAACTGAAACTTCTTAATTGCGTAGTAATACATTGCAAGGACAAATCTGTTTTTTTGCTGACCACCGCAGTTATCGGAATAAAGAATTATGTCAGATTGAGGATGTGTATTAGCGATTTCTTCAAGAAATGAAAGGACACATGAACCAATTTCGACTGCTCCTCTATGTCCTAGACCTTCATGCCAGAAGTAACAGGATGTCTTGTCATTGCCTATTTCTGATATCGTAAAATTAAAACAATTTAATCTTGATTTATAGTAAAAAGCTGATGTTTGTCCCATAGGTACTGGCAGGACAGCTTGTAGGTCATACATTACCAAAACTGTATTTGATCCATCTTCTTTTGCTTTTTCTTTGTCTGAAGCTTTCTCAGTTCTACTTAGTTCTTTTTCCTCTTGATGTGACTTATACTGACATTGTAATTTTTCTTTTTCTTCGTCAGGCGCGTTTTTAAATGATTCACACAAGTCGCATTGGTCTTTCTTTGGGAAAAAGAAACCAATATTGAATTGTGTATTAAATATGTAGGCGTAGGCGTCATAGTTTGCAGCAGGCTGGCCCAAATCGTCTTGTTGCTTTTTATAGTGTCTGTGCATTTCTGCAATCGATAAACCGCCATCTATAAACTCTCTTGATGTGTTAGCCCTTTGGTAATGGCTCTCTGTACGGGGTATAGAATTTATATGTGATTTTACAGACACCATCATTTCAGGGTTCATCTTTACCTGTTGACCATGTTTTCCACGTTTATCTTGCGGTACAATTCCAGACCCAGAAGCTTTTGCTTGGATAATTGTTCTAATTGATCTCTCCTTAATGCCAAAAGTGTTCATCAGGTATGTTTTGCATACACGCATTTTTTTTCCATTGTGAAGCAGATAGAAAGCACAGTTCTGTCTTCTAGGTGTTTGGATAGTTCTTATGCGGCGATAACTCAACTGAAGTGGTTCAATACAAGAAGACAAATAATCACGTTGTCTCTGCAGTGATCCTAGATTCCAATACTGCTGAAAGAAATCAGCTCTATGGTCTTCGCTAAACTTCTCTGAACACTTCTGAATGCAACGATTAGAGCAAGTAGGTCCCATTGTTTTTTTATTCACAACTTTTCCAGTTCTTGAAATATAACTTTTTCCTGAATTCTTAAGGAGTTTAGCTTTATTTTTTCGCCATTCTTCTGGATTTCTTACTCTCTTCTTACCTTTTTTGATGAGCGTACAATTTTCTGTATTATTCAGAGGACTTATTTTATTTTCAGAAAATAGACTTCTGGGTCTCTTTTTCTCTTTTATGGTAGGGGTCGAATTTGTTTCACTTTCCGACGATATATTATTTTCTGATGGTACATAGTTGTCACTATCTTCTCCAAATAAGCTGTTCTCATCATCTGAGGAATGTTGCTCATTATAGACTGTTCGAGACATTTCTCTCAAAGTGATCTTGGTTGATGAGTGGGTTTCAACAGAATATGATGTACTGGGTTGTGTTTCATAATTGTTTGAAATACGTAGATTATCTAAAAGTAATTAATAATCAATAAAAGTAATTTTGATTAAAAAAGGAAAGTACCTACCTGGTCCAAGTTCACAAGGCTTATGTAGGAACATAATATTAGGGTCTAAACTCGAGGAATTCGGACTTAAATTCACTGGCTGCAATTCTGATAAAATGACCGCATCATTGAGTGTTTCTGAAATATTATTGTCTTCCAATACTGATGGTTCCTCTGGAGTACTGTTCTCTTCTTGTAAATTGTGAGTGGCTAAATGAAGTATCAGCTCAATCCTTTTCATTATTCAAGATTATATTCGCGTTTTATTTCTTCACTGAAATACAAAAAATCTATTATATTGACTGTTTTTACACACACTATTTCACACAAATATTCAATGTTATTTGAGTTAACCATGACATAAATACTGGTTAAGTGACTATAAAATTTACTATTCAAAAACCATAACAACGTAAATGTGTACTTACGGCTTTAATCATCTAGCAAGTCGCCAGAGATATCAAATTTTCTAGGCGAACAATAACACAACTGTCCGTTACGCTGATGTTTCTCTGAGATTACACCAAAACTTTATTTTATTTTGTCACAATCTACACTTATGTCGTTGTAGAAATATAAACGAAGTGTTCCGTTCGACAGTCTTTGAACAACTGACATTTGCGGCGATTTCGTTCCAACAATATGGCAGAAAGTACATAATTTTGACAACGACGCAACTGCTTTCTAGCGGCCAATAAATGTACTACCTTTATGGTATTGTTCCATCCGATAGAATGGCACGTTCTGACTCTTTTGACACATGTAACTCAAAACTGCAAAAAATTGCACTTACGTCTTTGTTGCTCCGGAGAAGCGATATAAAAAAAACAAAAAAAAGAACAGTATACAAATAAGTTAAATAGCTCCGTTTGTACTCTGTTCCCATTTCCCCTAACTATATCATTCAAGACATGCTAACACAAGGCCCATGGTTTGAGTTTATGGAATCACCCTTTTCAGGAGTGTTTTGAAGTATAATAACCTTGACAATTCTTCTACATGTGTCTATATTCTTTGTGCAGGTAATGTTCAAAAATTTGAATCTTTAAAGTGATTTTTTGAAGAACACCTACATTCTGAAAATATGTTTAAAAAATGTATATTTTCATATTTTGACACAGTGAAAATATTTTTCACTGTGTCAAAAATCTGTGTTTTTATATTTTTAATCCAATTGTATTTATTTCAATGAATTTCCAAGTTTTAAACAAATCTACAGTGCGTCATTACTCAAAAAATTTTAAAAGCAAGGGAACTGTTGTGTCTTTAGTAGAAAACACACTTATTCTATTTGGTATCAGTTTCAGTATATCAAACACGATATAAAAAAAAACAAACAATATTAACATTATTTAAATATTTAGTTAATATAATATAGCTCCAAAACAATAATGATTATCTCATAAATAATATGAATAATATTATACATAGATTTGCTAATACCAGTGGCAGATCTAGACCTAGACATTTGCCTTGGGAGGGAAACAACCAACTTACTGGGCTGGCTAGAATACCCAGAATATTATTAGTAGAAATAATAAAAATATCATGAAAAATAATTACTTAGTAAGTATATAATTATCCTGACAAGTTAATAAACAGGTAAAAAAACAAGTGATAAAGTACGCTTACTTGGAGACAAGCATAAATTATCAATAGTACCATTTTAACAAAATAATCTAATCAGAATGCCTTTGATTTATGGCACTATAGGCAGGGACTAAGAATCTTATGAGTGAACTAGATACAAAAGAGGAATGCTGTGGAATGACTACCACTTATTTGTCAGCTTCAATGAATCTATTTTACATTTATTTTGGGCACAAAATCTACCAAAATTGTTCTTTATATCAAGCACTCAAGTATTTTAAAGAATAGAAAAAACTTAAAATAAGTAATAGTAAAAATTTTGAGACATTAATAGTTACTGCTACTTACTTCTATAAATGGATAAATTGTTTCTTGTTTTCTGGCTTCAAAATATCTATCAACATCATAATGTAATTTGTATCTTCCATTCGTAAAATCAGCTCTATCAATAAACTCTGAAAACTTTCCAGTACTATTTGTTATTCCCTCATTAACAAAAGTCCATCTTCCATCAATAAGCTTATATAGACTCACTTGAAGTCCCGAAATTGGTTTTCCTTTTGTTGTGTCCATCACTTGAGTGGATATAGGAGGTTTTTCAGGAAGTATTCTTGTTTCCGAGTTCTGAAATTTTTTATTCAAAGTTTACCTTTTTTGAAATTGTTTAACAAATGCTTACTTGATCTGCAATAGATTCAGTCATTGGTTTTAGTTCTCGAGGTTTGTCATCTTCTTCTTCTTCTTCTAACTCAGACTCTTCATTTGAGAGATCTTTATCATCTTCATTGCCTGATATTGATTCTTTCATGTTTATTGCTATTTTACTCTAAAAAATACCAACATAATGTTTAAAATAATGTATAAATTGTATATTGAATTCCTACCTTTCTAGCACTATGTAATTGTGCAGCCTTTTGATGTCTTATAGTGCAAGTATGCTTTAAAAGACTATTCATATGTGCATGTAAGTTCTTGTGACAATATGTACAGTAAGCTCTTGTAGGCTCACCTTCTACCCCTCTCAGCCATCCTATTAAATACAATAAATATTTATTAAGTGCTAACATTGAATACAAATTATTATTTACCTTTAAAATCGGGCATATGCTCCCACGCCGGCCGATATGTTTGTTTATAATATTTTCCCCTAGAATGTACTGAAACTGTTGGTTTTGTGGAAGATGTTGGTAATATAACAGGAATAAAATATTCTGTGTCTTGCTGGTTAACTTTATTAATTTCCACAACTTCAACTTCTTCTGTTTCCATTTGTTTATAGCCAACAAAATTATAAAAAAAATTAAAAATTACTAAATAGGGGAACTACTTCAGTCGGGATTTTGGTTTTTCAACTAGTAATAGTGGTAAACGTAAACAATAGCTAAGATGGCGATGATTTCGATTCATGACAGTTATGACGTCGTGATTGTAACGATTGCAACAGTGAACCAGCAGGTGACAGCAGGTGAACTCTTGCGAATCGTGTGAACCAATGACGTATAATATATTATACGTCATTGGTGTGAACTAATTTTGACCACAGAACACATAAAAATCCGCATCATGTTTTTTTGTAAGAGTATTTCAAAAATTAATTCTAATATTATCCTGTTCTATTTTCAGAAAAAATACTGTTTATGAAATGTAAAATTATTCAATAAATAAAGCTACATTTAATAATTAATTATTTTTAACTGCCATTGTTTTAAACTCATTTCAGAAATTTTATATTTGATCTTCACTGTAAAAAAATTGAAATAGGACGCCCCACGTTTGTGGGACGCCTGCTGTAGATGTAATCATATTTTAAAAACTATAATATTGTATGGTGTGTGTACAAGCAACGAATGCATATAATGTAGTGCGGTCTTATATAATGGCCCTGCTGTACGTCTGTGCCCGCAGCACAGAATAATAAACAATCAGAATGCCCACTATGCTTGAAAAAATAAGTACGCGCATCTCGTTCGCGCAGATGGAATCAGCCATGTTTTAAACGGAACCAGTGTTCAGTGACATTTTATCAGGTGTGCATAGAAAAATTAACCCGGTTTAATTTATTTACGGCAACCATAGACATAATATGCACTATTTTATGCGTACTGTTAGTTTAAGAATAGATTAAATTATTTCAAATGTACTAAATTATTAATCTCTATAAATTTAAATTACAGTTCTGTCGTAGCTTGTCACAAATTTCTCAATTCGAGTCTGTTTCCGTTTAAACTATGGCGATCGCGTGCTGACAAACTTCAAAGGCGGTATCTGAGAGTCGGCATTCTGATTGTTATTTATTGTGTGCCCGCAGTATACACTCACATAGCTTGGAGATGTGACGGCATAAGAGATCATGTAGTTTTCTGCCATAGCATAAGAGATGGTCTTACCACAGAATAATAAACAATCAGAATGCCTACTCTCAGATGCCGCCTTTGAAGTTTTTCAGCACGCGCGCCATGTTTTAGAAGGAATCCTATAACACGGACATATGATTTGTGAGGTTATGTAATTGTTTATATTTATGTTTAATTATATTATATTTATGTTATTATATTTAACAATGTTAATCTAATTGTATAGTATGTATATGATTGCCGTAAGTCAATTAAACCGGGTAAATTTTTCTATGCACACCACATAAACAAGACTGGTTCCCTTTAAAACATGGCGGAACGTCTGCACGAACTTAATTTTCCATGGAGAGTGGGCATTCTGATTGTTTATTATTCTGTGGTCTTACTTCAAAAGTGCGAGTGCGTCAATAAACAATGTTTTTACAATACAATTTTTAAAATAAACAATGTTTCATTGTAAAAGTTAAACTCAACCTTTTTTTAAATAATAAGAATCTTTTGTGTAAATCTACTTTATTCTGTAAATTCACTATATTTAAGTGTCAAGATTTGATTTATTTAAGAAAAATAAACCATCAAAAATAAATGTTTAATTTTTTTTAAAGATTAATTTCAATTTTCTTTGGGATTCGGAAATACCTGGAAATACCCATAAATAGTTCTTACCATCTCTAGCAAAGAGAAAATTGAAATTGACACATTGACAGTGATCATGTTGTCATTATATCATTTGACATTTCAAAAATCAATAATAAACATAAGATCTGTTTCTAATGTAATAAGTCATTTTAATTTAACTAGCAGAACGATAATTTTAGTACACTAATTTAATTATTCACAATGGCAGAGCTACAAAACCCTTTACCTCCTGGATGGGACGCTAAGAGAGATCATATATCTGGAAAATAGTAAGGAAAGTAAAAGTTTAGTTGACCGAATAATTAATTAATTATTTTATAGCTATTATATCAACCATTATACCAAAACAACTACATGGGAGGACCCTAGAATAAGACACAGGCATTTGCATACAGCTACCAAACAATATACTGCCGCTGAGTATATACCACTACAGGTGATTTTTGCATGTTAATCTTTTAGATTCGCTTATTTATATATTTAACCATACTGCCTTTCTCACATGCTGCTGTTGGAATTTGTTTTTGTTAAAATTCTAGCACGGAACCCCAGAGTCACGAAGAAATTATGTGTATCCTCGCCAGACCTCCCCTATACCAGCATTTCAAATGCCAACACATATGAGTCCCAAGAGTGTTCCCCTGCAGGTATTTGTCCACTTGTACATAACTGCACCTTGATTCTGAAAGTCTTGGAACAATGTTAAACAAAAACATTGCATTTATATTTAAATTAATAATTGCTAATTTGTTAAAGGATTTATTATTAATAAATCTTATATTCTTAATATTAGAATATTAAGATATAATATTCTTCTTAATATTCTAATATTAAAATTCTTAATATTAGAATATTAAGAATTTGTATAGTCATTTTTAAAGTATTTGCTTTTGTCAGCAAGTTTACATGTTGACAAAAGCCCCCTAGCTCTCAGTATACATGATGACTATATCCATTAGGCTTCCATAATTGTATTTCCATTTCATGTTTAAAAAGAACCTTTCATCAATTATTTTTATTATATGTAACCCATTTATGCCAAGAACTATTTTTTCTTTTACATATAGTTTATTTTGATATGTTGTGTTTGAATGATTCAAATTATGTGGAAAAAATATTAAAAAAAATGACGTCATTAATAGTAGACATATATACATGGGTATACTTCATCTAATTTAGATAACGACTTACGTCATAATCTACGTCAGAGATCGAAGTTGACATAGTTGCCAAAGTATAAAAAAATCTTGACTCCATTTTAAATCAAATAGATCACGTAATTATTGCAAAAGTATTACCATCTCTTTACAATGACTATTAAAATTCTTACGTGACATTTTTGAAATAAAACACCCTATATTTGTTCTAGAAAGCACAGATTTTATTAAATAGGTAAAAATATAAAACAAGAGATATTCACTTTAAAATTCAAAATAATAAAGTACAAAAAGTGTCAACACCGCAACTGTCAAGTAAGTGTTACCAATTTATGCCAAAATTTTACCTTCGTTCGATTACAGTTACAGTGTGTTCCGAACAAATGTTCTTGATAAAAACGCTTTATAATGCATTTGTACAAATTAAATGAAACATATTATTGTGTATTTCTTTAAGTTAACATTAATAGAAATTTTTAAATATTATTTTTACACGTATATAATAAAATATGTCTAGTGGCTGTAATGCCAGTGTACTCGGTAAAGTGATTCTAAAAAAGAACACACCTACCGCATAAATATTTCGAGTTCGTATCATGTGACGTCACAGGCTATGACGCCGATGACGTGCATCGTTATATAAATTAGATGAAGTGTAGTTATCGACCCCTTAGGCAAATGCAGCATGTAAAAATATGTTTTTGTTCATTTTTATAGAAAGAATTTTGAAATAAAAGGGAAGGATAAGATATATATTTTTTAATAATTATTTTACTAACAAAGTACTTACTTCGAAAAATATTATAAGTAAAGATAACATAAACATTTATACAATAGTGAATCCAAAAGTAAATAAAATAACAAATAAATTATTTGTGATATTCCTTGAAACATTTGTCATGCAGAGGGATATAGCAGAGTTGACATGCTTTAACTGTCTTATTTTTACACAGTTGAAAACATCTAGGTTTTCCACATATTGTAAGGTGCTGTCCACTGGATTTTAGACTTTCTGGTATAAAACAGGAACATGATGGTCCATGAAAATGTGGTAGCTGACTATATTTTTCTAACACTGACAGTCCTACCATTCTTTGAAAATATAAGTTATTATGTTTGTAACCATATTGTCAAGCAAGAATCCACATATTACTCATACAAACATCAAACATGTAGAACAAAATGGGTGCATACCATTTCTTTCCTCCAAGTCCAATACAATATGCAGTGATATGTCTGTCTAATAAATTGACACCTCCCATGAACGTATTGTATTTTATAATGTTAAGTTGGGTGATTTCAACTTTTATTTTAGCTGCAGCTGAATACCTTTGTGCTTTTTGAATCAGTGCTATTTCAAATTCATTTGACAGCAAGATCACAATCTTATTATCGTTCCACTGTAGGGCTATTTGTTATCTTGTGTTAGGAGGCTCTCGTATGCTCCCCTCTCTCTCTTTTTTTACATTTTATTTTTTGCTGTGAGTGGGCAGTTTTTCATTATATCCCGTCTAACAGTACCTGTTGGTCCAAAATTCATCTCTTGTAACTTTTCCATTAACTTTACGCTGTTGAAATAGTTGTCAAAAAATTAAGAAAATCATAGATTAGAATAGACTGAATAGATTCTCCTACGCCATATTTGATATTGTCATCACTTTCTACTGTTCTCTTTTTTTCTTGATAAATATCCAAATACAACCTACAACTGGATCACTCTCTGATGATAATGATATGGGAGGTAAATAAGATGTAGCAAAATCTGATTTTTCAGTTTTATCTTTTATTCTTTGACTAAAGTCACTGATGGTTTTGCTCCAATTTCTCTTTACTTTCTTTACTTGTTTTGACCCCATTTTTCGACTATTACCTGCAACTGACGTCAACTTAGCCTATCTGAATCATTACAATCTTTATCCCCAGAGTCCTCATCAGTATAGACACTATCATTATCGGGTGGTGAGATGTATATATAGAATGGTAAAATATCATATTTATCCAATCGCTCAATTTCATCCAATAATTCTGCTGTAGTAAGAGGTTTCTTCCTAAAAAATAATTTTCGTTAATGATGTGGCATGTGCCCAAGGGATCGTTAGCGACCCGAACATTTTTTATTCCATTTTTTATATTAAAAATATCAAATAATCCAATAAAATTTACAATATACCTAAAGAATAGTATAATTCGTATTGACACTATAAAAAAATAGTCATAATAATCTATAAATAAAAACTTACCAATAATGTTTTTTGTACATGTTCAGCTTTCAAAATTGAACAGAAGTTAAATTTGCTTATCGGGTCGTGCCATGGGTCGTTATCGATCCTCGGGGCATAAATGGGTTAATATCTATGTGCTCTTGCAAAATCTCACAACAGCAATTTTGTCATCTTACATTTTGCATTTACTGACTCCTTAAGAATCCTTATTACTATGTATTTTGACAATATTTAGATAAAGTATATTGCTAACTGAAACTACACATGTGAGTGGAAATTCAGTAGAAATGTCATTGTTTTATTAATATTCGCTTAAAATTACCATGAATTAGCAATATAAATTACAAAAGTTTGAAAGAAAAATAATGTTAAAGACCAAAGTTAAAATATATAACATTTTCTTCTTGAGTTCATATAAAACCTTTATTGATTTAGATTTTGTAGAAAACTGTTGTCAAACTATAATTTGGGTAAATTCTCTACTGCTTAACTGTATTATCTTTCTGAAATGTAACTTAAACAGGAAAGAAACATGAAAAAATCTTTTATCAAACAAATAAAATATATATATGTTCTTTTTTACCAACCTTTTATGTATAGAATTTTTAAGAAATATTGTTACCATTATATCCAAGACTTTTATATTATCACTTTTTGTTGGTTTATGAGTAACTGTAAATATTTAGACACACATATCGAGTATATAAACAATCAAACATTTAATTCAAACTGCATTTTTAAGAGAAGTTGTTACCAATTGTTTTATAAATATTAAACCTGTTGCTTTAGGTATATGACTACTATTGCTTAACATGTAAGTAAAAAGTTGTACCTATAGTGTATTTTTATGTATGAGAGAGTAATAAAACAATAAATTATGTATGCAAATCCCTAAACTGTTGATACGGGTGACTCAATGAAAAACAGATATTTGTCAACAAGTTTACAGAAGTATATAGGAAAACAATTTTAAATTGAGTATGACCACCAGGTATAAAGGTTGGAGCAGAATAGAATACAATACTTGTGAGGGTTACTAATCCCTAAATAAGGTTGCCAGTGTCGGAGTGATGGAGGTTAACAGGTACTAATGAATTTGCAAGAAATGTAAGATGTTTATTTTATTGGTTATATATAACCAATAAAAGTTTAATAAGTACCTACCTATTTGCAAAATAAAGTTTAATTCTTTAGATAAAATAAAACGTTTTATTTTATCTGAAATGAGTGCATTCCACAAAGTAAGGGTTTCAACAATCAAACATTTAATTAATTAATTAAACATTAATTGACTAGATAATTACCTTCTAAACTTATTCCACAGAAAATGTGATAGTGGGTTTTTCCATTTTGTAGGAAGGTCCAAGTGGTGTATTCAAAATTCTTAACAGTTCACTAAAAGTAGGTACTTCAGTTGCAAGGTGCAGTTTATTGTGTATACTAGTGTTATGGAAAATTTGGAAGTGCCGTGTAAACGCCGAAAAATTGGTCCTTTAACAGTTAATGAAAAAACATTATTATTTAATTGTTTTAAATCATTTACAGACAAACGTTTATGTGAAAGTGTTGATGAGACCGTTGAGTTAGTTAGCAGTACACTTGGTGTTGGGAAATCTACGATTTACAGAGTTATTAAAGAAGAGAAATGTGGTAGTTTTCAAATGCCACGTAATGCTCCAGGGAAACCAAAATTTCAAATAGAATATCATTTTAAAGAAGGACTTCGACGGAAAGTGCATGAATTCTTCTTTAGACAAGAATTTCCAACATTGGATAAAGTTCTTGTCTCAGTTCGAGATGATAAGGATTACCCAGAAATGATTCGAAGTACGTTATGGAAACTTTTAAAAGAAATAGGCTTCCGCTGGAAATATAATCCCAGAAAGTCTATTTTATTAGAAAGAAGCGATATTGTCATATGGAGAAGACATTTTCTAAGAACCATAAAGGAAATGAGAAACCAAAAAAAAAATATTTTATCTTGATGAAACATGGATCAACGAGGGTCATACACTAAATAAATTTTGGCAGGATGAAACTGTTACAAGTCAAAGGCA